GCCAAAAAAATCTCATTAAGTGAAGGCACATAGCAGAAGTAGAAATAAAGGATAACACCTTGACATTTTCCATGCTCTTGGAAAAACTGTATCTAACTTCCAAAGGAAATTTAAAGGAAAAAAGAAAAACAGAATCCTTACAATAAACAAATAACAGGCATCTTTCTAGTTCATTCTCCTAATAAGCTCGTTGATGTAATTCTCACGGTTTCCAGCATCTCCCCCTTCAACATAGTGGTTCCTCTTCTTTTTCAGACCACCCAATGGGGCCTTGAGCTTAAATGGCCACAAGAAGTTATTTGCCTCCTTAAAATGGGGCCCCACTGTCATAATCTCGTGGATAAGATCTTCCACGCAGATAATTCCATACTGGCCCAAGGCCTGTCATCATGGGAAAATCATTAGCAAGAACATATAATACCATCTCTTAAGCACCAATAACATAAGCAATTCTACAGACCTGCTCAACAACTGAGTTGTCAGTCAAAGCAGTTCTCTGCTTGTTTAACTTCCCATAACCTCTTTTGTAAATCAGCTCTCTCACACTCTTATGATTGGGATATCTAAAAACATGCACCGCTAACAAATAAGAAATGGCACATAAATAATATCAACACATGAAGAGGCCCTTTGGAAGGGAGGAGGAAGCAAGAGAGAGCGAAAGATACCCATAAGTAACATATGGCTCAACCAGATGAAGCATGTTCATTGTTGCCTTGTTCACTTTGAGAAAAACTCCATTGAAAATCTGCATCAAAATGTGAAGCTCACGGCTAATTTAGATTTTCCCAAGCAGGTGAATAGTTTCCATCATAAATACTACAAGTCTCTTGAGGTGCTTTAGACATTATATGGATATAGCATCAAAGCTAACATACTAAAGATTTGATATCAGAATGCTGAAATAACAGGAACTGCTCAGCAATGCCACGGCATCAAATTATACACAGTTTAGGGTACATATAAAACTGATCTAATGCTCAAAAGACAAAGTAAAAGACTACACATTGAAATTTGACTGGAAAATCTCTTAGCATCACAAAATGAAAATGCCAAAATTAATATATTTATATCGCGCATTTCCTGAAAATATCTTAGAACACCTCAGCCTTTAAACAGAAACACTTTGACACAAAAAAAAAATAGAAAAAACTATCTCGGCCATTTTTCTCGTTAAAAAGATTTGATAAGCTACCTGTCTCAGACGCAAAAGCTGCAAGATTTTCCTTGTCCTAGGATGCATGGCATTGATACTGTAAACAGCAAAGTTGACGACATAAGAACCAGCTTATTAGCACTTGTGTATACTGACATAATGTCATAGATGTCACATACCCACGAATGCGAATGATAAACAGAAGCTTAGCCTCAGGGTCAACATAAAATCCTCCTTTCAACTTTGCCTCACGCTTCAATTGGATGAGCTCCTTCTCCTGAAGAAAGGCCAGCAGTCACTAATTCAGAAGCTGCAATGTTGGAAGTAAATGAAAATGTAGCAGAACATAGAAACAATATATTTATACCTGAGTCTCATACTCCTTTGCGTATTGCTTAGCTCTATTGTAAATCACCTTACGATCCTCAGCTTTCTTCTTCTTTGCAGCTTCAAGCTCCTGCTTTTTGGCAAGCTCCCATTCTTCATTCCTCTTCTGCTTCTTCAAGAGTGACTCAGGAATCACAGCCTTAACTTCCCCACCCATGTCTAAGCAAATTACCAAACCAAAGTAGAAATCAGAAAACAAGTCCTGCATTTATATAGACATTCTTTAACCCAAACAAACATACTAGTTAAAACCAGATACACAAATCATAAACACAACTGCACATTATAAAATGAATGATTCATCTCTTTTCAGTGTGATCAAAAACAAATCAATAGTACCAATTGAAAAGAAAAGAGACCCTTAGTTCTACCAAGCATCCAACATCATTTTCTTTGATTTGAAGGGAGATTCAAACCCAGCTCTTTGAGCAGGGATACTTGCAACATCCATCGTTTCAAGAACACAACAAACAGTAAATAAATACAGAAAAGGGGACTTGAAAACAGTTTGACCCAAAAGATTAGTTTCAAAAAATGGGTAACGATGGGATCAAGAGTACACAGCCAGGAGTGAAAGATTTCTCAAATTATTGCAAGCGAAGATCACTAATCAAACAGAGTCTGCAAATTCGAAGAAAAGTATCGTTTAAAAGGTTAAATCGATTCATTTTCTTAGCGAATAATAGAGTTTAGAGAAAGAGAGTAACCTCGAAAGTTTTTGGTCGGTCGAAGGTCGGATGCGGCGGCCAACAAGGATTAGGGTTTCTTCGAAGTTAAAGCTTTAGAAGAGGAGGCCCAAGCTGACTGAAAACAGGGTTTTGTAGGGTTTGTGTTTCCTGTTGCTTCATTCGACGGCTGTGATTACTTCTGGCACTAAACGATCATCACCATCGTTGATGTTCTATTTAGGACATAATTTAAAAAATAATTAACTATTACTTCACAAATTTTTTTGTTTTACTTTCATTTATATTAAATTAAATATAAAAATATATATAAATGATTTTTTATGGTTTTTATATTAAAAAGTAAAAAGGAAATTATAAAAAATAGCTTTGAATTCTAAAAAGTAAAAATATTTAAACAAAGAAAAGATGGAACAATTTTAAGATATCTAAAAATATATAAAGATGGAATTTGTTAGCTTTATTAGCTTTAAAATTATTATAGCTTTGATATGACAAAAGTGATCTAAATTGCTTCAATAATCTTTGAATTTGTTTGAGTGATCCTTTTACTTATTTGAATGATTTTTTAAATTGTTTGAATATGTTTTTGAGCTTAATTTATTAATGTTAACAACTTTCAAACAAATGCCCATGAAGTGCATAAGTGTTTCCATGTGAAAAATAATTAAAAGTACATTAATGATCTTTGAACTTATTTAAATGATTTTTGAAGTTATTTGAATGAGTTTTTGAACTTGTTTAAATAGTTTTTAAACTTATTTAATTAAATTTTGAAGATCTTAAGTGTTTCGATATGGAGAGGTTTAAAATTGCTTGAATGAGTTTTAGAATTGCTTGAATGATTTTTAAACTTGTTTAAATTATCTTTAAACCTCCCTTGCATTTGATTTTAAAATGTCTAAGTATTTGGCATCAAATTGGGTTCAAAAAAATGAATTTTTTATGTTTTAAACTATAAGTATCGATACTTTGATCAAAAATATCAATACATTTTAAATAGAATGGTTCTACCCAAAATGTATGGATACATTTCCAAAATGTATCAATGCATTTTAAAATGTATAGATGCATTTTAAAATGTATAGATACATTTGGTCCAGAACTAACCATTACACACAAAAATCAAGAGAAAAACGGTTATTTTCTTCACCAAACCTTCTCTAATAGCTTTAAAACTTCTTTAACTATAAAAAAGAATTCTCCAACACATTTACAAGGCAAAAGTAGTGGAGAAAAACATCTTTTGATCAAGAATTAAATCATATGAAGAAAAAGAAGAAAAAAAAAGAAACCGAGATAAAAGAAATAATTCACGTTCTTCCACCAAGCTTTTAAGCTTTCTTGTGCTATAATTTCTTTGTGACTTCATTCCCATCTTCTGTAATAATCCTTATCAATATCATACTCTTTCAACTTTGTACTTACTTAGCAAAACCTACCTTCTAGAGGTACCCTTGCTACTCAAAATTGTATTAAGAGGTTGTACTTGATCCTTGAAAGGCATTGCAAAGGTTTTGGTAGAGCCTTAAAAAGTATTTTTTATAGTGGATTTGAAATTCCTTAATGAGCTAAAGGAAAGAATGTAGGCAAAAATGCCGAACTTCTACAAAAATATTATGTCTTCTCTCTTTATTTTTCACTCTTTGAATTTACATATTTACATTAAAGAATTTAGTAAATTTGTTCTTAACTTGTCTATTCTTTAATTTACTCTTCCAATTGTTATTGATACACTTTGATAGAAAAACAAATTTATGAAAATTATTCTTAGCTTAACTTGATTGGAAGCTTGTGAAAATTTTACACTAATGCGTTTTGCCTTAAAGAGTTTGAAAATTTATTTTTAACTTGTTTGGTCATTACTTTACTTAAATTACTTTTGGCATGCTTTAAAGTGAAAACAAATTTGAGAAACTTGTCTTTAAACTTACCTTCATAAAAAGTTTAAATTTGTTGAAAACAATTTTCAAAATCCAACCCAACCCTCTTTAGGATATTTTTCTCATTATTATAGAGCTAACACTGTTAACAATTAGTGTCAAAGCTTGGACTCAATTTTGTAAGTTTAATAGCCTTTGAGTGATCCTTGTTAGCTCCAAGACATGGTCGTGAACTCGATTGCAACAATTATTGGTGAAGGGCAATCAATTGTATTCCCTTCTCTATTTAGTGGTGAGAACTACACCTATTGGAAGATTAGAATGAAGTTCTTTGTTCCAGCCAACGATTATGATGTTTGGAGTACAATTGTTGGTGGTCCATACAAGCCAACCAAGGAAAGAAAAAGAGTGGGATACAAATGGCATAAACATGGTACAACTGAATGCTAAAGCCATGCATATTCTCCTTTGTGCATTTGGGGATACAAAGTACAATAGAGTTTCCAAGTGTGAAAGTGTCAAAGAGACTTGGGAGAAATTAAAAGAGTTGTATGCGAAAGCAAAGAAGGACTAGGAATTGGATGAAAAACCTTATGAAGGTCAATGCTCAACATGTGGCAAGGTAATTAAAGATCAGGAATTAAGTGAATTTCAATCTTCAGTCCACTTCGAATCATGCCTCATGGCTCTTAAAGAGCTTAAGGTAAACTCATCACTTTATGAACCCTTTTTGTATTCTTTTGGTGAATTGCAAAATGCCTTTGAAGAATTAGCTTGTAAATTTCATAAAATGAATTTGAAACACAAGAAAATAATTTCAAAACTTAGTGTTGAAAATAAATTTTTACTGAAAGCAAAAGATAATTTGGAAAAAGGAAGTGAAAAATTGAGAATTAATTTTGAAGCTTGCCAAAAAAATTTGACACTTTAGAAAAAGAGAATTTAGATGCAAAAATGAGGCTTGATGGATTAACAAATGAAAAGAAAATAATTTTCACAAATTCCACATTTTTAAATATGACCAAATGCAATTATTGTAAATTTTATGGTCATTATTCATGCACTTGTCCAATTAGAAAATGATTTTATAGGATTAGACAAGTGAGGATTCCAAAAGGATCTATATGCAATAAGACTAACTTTCAAGGATCCAAAAAAATTTCAATACCAAAAATCAAATGAGAATATTTCTTGTAAGTGTGCTTGAGCAAAGAGGAACAAACTTTTGAAGATTGAAAGCTCTAGAAACATACAAAGAAAAATGAGTGGTTTCTTTACCAAAAGTCCTTTTTTTGTCAAATGTTGAACTTAGATTGTTTTCTCTTATCTATTTTGATTGAATTAATTTAACTTGATTTCTTAAGTTGTTTACCCATTTTTTTATTGAGAATTTTGGTTGCCTATGTTGACTCCATGAGTTTTTAATGATAACAAAACATTCCCATTTATTAATGTCTAACTATATTACTTAGGTGTATAAGATAAAAATGTATGTCACTTAGTTGAATAATTACTTAGAAACAAACATCAAAACTCATCAGAAGAAGAGGTCACAAAAATGAGTTACAGACAAAAGCCTTTTAGCCAGATAACCAAGGAAATAAATCAGCTAAAATCCAAAAGTGAAGTTAGTTGTTCCAAAGACAGTAAGCTCTTAATCGATTAAAGTCTTACTTAACCGATTAACAAAGTAAAACAGGCTGTAAGACAGAAAAGACTTAATCAACAAAGAAGTATGGTTAGCCAGCCAAAAGCTTACTATCAGAAAATTTGAATTTGAATGTCTATAGACAAACTAACGACTAGAAAGGATTTTAAACTGTTTCCAATAGTCTGAAGTTGTCAACATCCATCCGAGTTGATTTTTCAAGTATAAAAGAGATTTCCAACAGCTAAAAAGATTAAAAGACATTTTCAACGGTTAAAAGATCATGAGATACTTCCAAGAACAAAAAGAGCCCAAAAATAGCAAAATCCTCTCAATTCTTCGTGTGTTTCACTCTAATCTTTGTAATAGATTTTAGCACCTCATTTTGTACCATTTAGATCAACTTAGTGATCATAGGTACACCTTCAAATCTATATTCCTTGATTACTGAAAGTGGACGAGGCATTCTAAGGGAATTATTCAAGTTTAAGTTAGCTTGGTTGTTGTTAGGTTCTAACTCAACCTTAGAAAAGTTAGATTTTAGGTTTTGGTTAATCTAGTGAAAAACCATTGTTGAAAGGTTGTGGCTATTAGATTTTAAGTTTTGGTTAATCTCGTGAAAAACCATTGTTGAAAGGTTGTGGCTAAGCCTATGAAAAATGTTTGTAAAAGCTTGGTGGATGCTTGGTAAATCCACTAATTGTAGTGAATTGATTTGAAAATCCTTAATTGAAAAATCAAAGTAGTGAATGTAGGTCAAAAAGACCAAACCACTATAAATCTTTGTGCATTATCTACCCTCTTTTATTTCTTCATTTCATTCTCCTTTAAATCA